AAAAAAAAAAAAAAAAAAAAATTTCTTGCTGGGCGATGGTGGCGCACACCTTTAATCCCAGCACTCGGGAGGCAGGGGCAGGGAGTTCGTGAGTTTGAGGCCAGTCTGATCTACAAAGTGAGATCCAGGACAGGCTCCAAAAGCTATACAGAGAAACCCTGTCTCGAAAAAAAAAAAAAATTCCGAGACAGGTCTTATGTAGTCCAGGCTGATTTTGAACTCACTATAAAGCTGAGGATAACCTTGAACTCATGATCCTCCTGCCTCCACCTCTGAGGTTCTGGGACTACAGGCACGTGTCACCTTACCTGACAGTTTTATTATTTTATAGATGGGAAACTGAGGCTCAGAAAAAGGAAAAATACTTGCAAGACCTATGGCCAGTGGACAAAGAGGTATTTGAAGCTGAGGTGTTTGTGGGTGAGATGACTCAGAATAAACACACCCGCAACCTGATGACCTGAGTCTGATTTCTGGAGCTCACATGATGGAAGGAGAGAACCAGCTCTCCTAAGTCACCTGGCCTCTGCATGCATGACACACTCATACACACACACACACACACACACACACACACACACACACACACACACACACAAACATTAGTGATAAAAGAAAGACCTGCATGGATCCCCAAACTTTCATCAAGACCCCCCACCCCCATCCCTACCTCTCCTCAGCAGAGATCTCATTAAGCACCATGGAGCCCAGAACATGAGCCGCTGGGGGCTGCAGGCACCCACATATCCTGCTGGGTGACTAGCTGCTGGGCTGAGGGCTTTTGTCCCTCAGTTCTAAGGTCATTTCAGAAACCACAGGCAGGCGCTGCCTCCTGATCTCGAGAATACGGATTTTTTTTTTTATTTCCTCCTTTATAATTTCCAAAGTTATCGAAGCTTTAGGAACAAACAGCTCTCATTTTATAATGCCTCCCACATCTTGTTTGCAGCAGGGGAAACTGGAAGATAGAGAAATGTCCAGCTGTGTACTGAGATCCACGGCGTAAGGCCAGCCAAAGTGTCTGTCACAGGTCATATAGGCTCCATGTTGGAAGAAGCCCTGAAGGTCATCAGCTGCATGCCTGGCATCCCAGGTCACCTAGGCAGGGGCAGGCTCTCTTCTCTCCTCACCTTTGCTCCTGCGGTGTCCTCCTCCCAGCTCCACGGCCGGACTGAAGTCACCTTTCAGGGCCCCGTCCCACCCAGTGTGGAAGGGCACTGTAAAGCGCTGCATCTCCCAGTTGGGTCGGCCATTGCCCACTTCCTCTGATCAGTGAAGATACTTTACATGGACCCATTTAGTGACCTTTATTATCTCCTGCCTTGCCCTGGAGTCACCTGCACCCAAGTCCATTTTGGGGGGGCAGGAGCTGCTCCGTAATGTTTACCTTTGTAGCTCCAGGGTCATCCTCAGCCTTGTGTATGCTATTCTTCCAATGAGTGGTGGACTTAGCGAACTGTAACAACCCTGTCCTAAAAGAGGATCTCTTCTGTGCCATGGGAGCTGAAGTGCTCACCACTATCTGCGGCCTCAACCTACTCAATGCCAGTAAACACTTCCGGTTGTGACAACCAAACTCTCAGCTTTGTCCCCCGCAGAGCAAGGTGCCTCCTGCTGTGACCCACTGATACAGATTGATAAGGGGTTTTCATAGAGCCCCTGGGAGTGGCTAGGAATGCCCATCTGATGGATGAGAGAGGCTTGTGAAGTGCTTTTGTGAAACTGAGTCCTGTACCCCAGCTTCCGGTTTCTAAGGCCAGTGCTTACCCCACATCCCGGAGTCCTCTGAGGACCCCAGCAAAACCTTGGCTCAAATTCTTTGGTGTACTGGGTCCAGCTCTGTCATGTCCTTGTCCCTTTCCCTGTGTCCCCCCCCCCCCCCATAGCCTGTGCTAAGTTATGATCTGCTGGCTGGCCTGCTGGTCGTGTAGGGTGGATCTCAGGCTGTCCCTGGACATTATTCCCATTACATCTTCTTCAGCTCCTTGGGCTCCTCCCCGTGTTTGAACACACTGATGGTGACCTGGCCCGTTTCTGAGCCATACTTGTTCTTGACAAAGATTCCATAGCGCCCACTGTCTTCACTGGTGACCTTATCAATGGTGATGGTGACCTCAGTACCCTTCACCTCCATGTGGTATCGGTCAAGGAAGGAGACAGGCTTGTCATTCTTTAGCCAAGAGATTTCAGGGGACGGGTCTCCCGAGATGACGCAGGTCAGGCACAGGGTCTGTTTTGATTGACAGGAAGAGAACAATTTTAGTTCCTTGTAACTTGAACTCAGCATCTGCCTTTAAGCTGCACATAGGGAGTTCCCAGTACAGGCAGCTGCTATGAACAAAGGGTATGTGTGCGTGCATGCATGTGTGCCTGGGTGTGTTTGCCTGTGCATTTTAAAAACAAGGTCTCATGTATCCTAGACTGGCCCTGAACTTGCCAGGTGGCTGAGTATGACCTTGAACTTCTCTCTTCCTGTCTCTACGTCCTCAGAGCTGGGATACACGCATGCCCAGCTTATGTAGAGTTGGAGATTGAACCCAGGGCTTTGTGCATGCTAAGCAAACACTCTACCAACCGAGCTACATCCCCAGCTCTTCCAGTGTTCTGTTGTAACCCATAAAGGGAGTCATGTTTTATTTCAACCCCCTTCTCCAACCCTCAACCTTCTACAGAAAACCTTCCTAGGTAGACTCTTAGACGATTCTCTAGCAATGGCCCACCCAGAATGGCCTGCACTTTGCATTTTTGCTTTTGGTAAGATATATGCCATTGTGACATCACCACATAAATAAGATTATATTGTTTTTAAAAATTTGTGTATGAACGTTTGCCTGCATGTATGTATATATGTGCAGCACCCTCAGGAGTCAGAAGAGGGCATTGGGTCCCCTCAAACTGGAATTACAGATGCTTGTGAGCCACCATGTGGGTGCTGGGAATTGAACTTGGTTCCTCTGGAAGAGCAGCCAGTGCTTTTAACTGCTGAGCCATCTCCCATCCCTGAAGAGTGTATGGCTTTAACACAAAGTTTGTGAATTGAGTTTGGAAGTTCTTGAGTGAGGTCTAAGGCAGAATACTACAACATAATGATGAAGCTCACAGGTTCTGGAATTGGGCTGCTGGGGTGCGAACCTCAGCTCTATCAGGTTGTGTGACCTTTATCAGCCCCTTAACCACCCTAGGTCTCAGTTTCCCTCACTGTCAAGAGGGACTAGAACCAATACTCTATTTTCAGTGGTTGCCCCGAGGAGATATGTACTAACATGTACTAGTAGTCCAATAGGAGACTTTTGAAATCACTACGGCTTTCAGGGGTTCCCTAGTTGAACTCTTGTGGAAGCCAGAGGCACAGGTTTCCACCAAGACTCTAAAGATGTGACAGAGCTGGGTGGAGCACAGGGGTCTGACACCAGGCTCAGATACACATGTGATCATTGAGTCACTTGGCCAGCTGTGGTGGGTCCACCTCCCTGGTCAGCCTGTCACCTTGGGCTCTCAAATCCATAGCACTCCGCTCTATCATGACCTGGAAGGAGTCCCTGAGGGGACACAAGCATGGGCTGGCTGGTTGTGGGTTGGGGGGAACGGTACCTTATCTTCCATGATGGTGGCCACGTCTGGCAGGCCCCTCACCACCTTGGCCCGATCTGGAATGGAAAGAAAAGACCTGAGTGCTGAAGTTCTGCCCGCTGTCCTCCTGCCCAGCAGCTCTCCTCGGAGCGGAGGGTTAGTATCCGGGAGCCTTCTAGTTTCTGCCTCAACATCCTGTCCTGTGCTCCTTGTCTGCACAGGTAGCAGAAGATAAGCTACGTGAGCTGCTTCTGCCATGGAGTTGAGGTCACTATGATGAGCGGTACCCAGGAGTGACAGTGATTGCCTTGTCCTCAAGAGAAAGAAGGTGAATGGGATTGCTATGAACTGGAGCTAACAGAAGCTACCCAACAAACTTTGTCTCTGACCCATGGGGAGTGTGGGGGGGAACCAAGAAAGGGCTGGGAGAGTGACAGCTTTTTGGACACCCTGACTCTGGTCTAAGGAGGGTCCTGGTGGCCACAGGAAGACAGTGTGGTTATAAAATACTAACTAGGGATGTGTCCCTTATACTACACCAGAGGCCATGGGGACACCTAGACCCTGCATCCCAGAAGTGCAAAAAGTTTGGTGCATATGGCTGCTGTCCATTGTGTGTAGGGGAGAAGAATCCTGAATCAGACAGGGAAGGTCTCAGGGATGGACACTGTCCTGGGCAGGTGCTGTGGATAGTAGCCCTTCTGAATATGTATTACTCTCATTGGAATAAAGAAGCTGATTGGCCTACAGCAAGGTAGGATGAAGTTAGGTGGGACCATCAAACAGAGAATGCTGGGATGCAGAAGGGCGGAGTCAGAGGGTCAATAGCTAGATGCAGAGGGAACAGGAGATGAATGTGCCATGCTAATAAAGGTACTGCCACATGGCAGGGTATAAATAAGGAATATGGGTTAACTTAAAATGTAAGAGCTAGTTAGTAACAAGCTGGAGCTATTGACGGAGCATTCATAATTAATATTAAGCCTCTGAGTGATTATTTGAGAGAAGCTGTGGGACAGGGAAACTCCGCCCACAGCAGGAAAACTCCGCCCACAGCAGGAAAACTCCGCCCACAGGCAGGAATTTGCACCAGTTTTCCACAGCTAAGGAAGCAGACCCATTTTTCTCACTGACACTGATTTCTCCAGCCCCAGCAACCACATGCAGTCAAGTTTAAATTCCTTCTATGGGAGTCCTGGATGGGAGGGGACATTTGTGTTGGGCATATAACTAGGTGGTGGTGTGAGGGTCCCCTCTGTCCTGAGCACATGTGAGGCTGGCTTTTGGATGTACTGTCTCCCCCAATGTTGGCTGACATGGTAAGGTCACTTGGAACCTTGGATTGTCAGGGCTGCAGTTACATATCCAATGCCTGTCCTTCCTGTCACTTGGGGACAGTAGGGACCAATGGCATCATGCAGGGAGGGTCACCAACATCTCTGTGTTGATGGTCCTGCAGTGTCCTTGACACTGGTAGCCATCTAGGTCCCTTCCTTGTCAGGCTGGCAAGGCTGTGGGATTCTGCTGCTGCCACTGTCTGTCACTGAAATCCCTATCACCCATCACTGAGCTGGGGAGACCTGAGGGCTATACTCCCAACACTGGGCTGTTCAAAGCTAGCTTGGGTGGGGCGGGGGGCGGGGCACCTCATAAGCGGGGCAGATTTGAACATGGATTAGTGGGGTTTTTGGGTAGCTCAGAAGCTGTGTCACATCCTCTGGGCCTGGGGCAATTCTGGGTTAGACCCGTCATCACCTCCATCCCCCCCCCCCCCAAGCCTCATATTCAAGTTCCAGGTCACCCCCTTCTTAAGGCTGACTTGGAAAGGCTAGCTCATTCCTCTCAGTTCCCGGCCTTTGGGGTTCCCACCAAGAGTTGTGTGCACCCACTCGGCACCAGACCCACACCAGGCCTGTCTAACCCATGACTTCCTTATCCATCTGTCTTTTTACAGCTAGCTCCCAGGTGTCCCCAGTAGCCGAGCGAGGCCCCAGAACTCCATGGAGCCTGCTGGGGAGCTGGGACTTCGGCTGTCTGCCAGGAGCCTGGGTTCTAGAGAAACCAGCTCAGACTCAGGAACGTGAGGAAGGAGAACGCTGGGGACTCACTCTTCTCAATGACGGCCAAGGCCCTGAAAGACAGAAATGGGAACAGAGGGTTGTGTTGTCGCTTGTAACTTCTCTTACCCTGTGAGACCAGGAAGGTGGAGCTGGATAGGGCTCCCGGAAGGGGCCCGAAAACAGTCACTCCACCCCTTGGGGGGCCCGTGATTCACAAGGAGACTGTGGGGGGCACTTACTTCAGTCTCTGGTGCTCGGCCAGGGCATCGTCAAAAGCTGTGGGACAGAGAAGCAGGACAGGGCTCAGGGGACTCTTGGCAACTTCCCTCCCATTCCAGGATTCTCACAGGGCGGTGCCAGGCTTGGAGGAGGAGAGAGCCTCCCAAAAGACCCCGGGACCCTCTTTTCTCTTTATCTTTTGAAGACAAGATCCCACTGTGTGGCCGAGGACCTGACTTTGAACTTCTATCCTCCTGCCTCTACTTCCTAAGTGTTAAGATTGCAGGGATGTATGTGCCTCCCTGTCTGACCTCATCATGGGATTTTCCTTTAAAAATTTTGTTTTGTTTTGATTTTTTGAGACAGGGTTTCTCTTTGTAGCCTTGGCTGTCCTGGGACTCGCTTTGTAGCACAGGCTGGCCTCAGACTCACAGAGATCCGCCTGGCTCTGCCTTCTAAGTGCTGGGATTAAGGGCGTGCGCCACCAGCCGCTCCAGCTAATTTTTTAAAAATTGTTATTATTGTGTGTAGATGTGAAGGTCAGAGGACAATCTCACGAAGTTGTTTCTCCTCTTCGATTTTTATGTGGGTTCTGGAACTTGACCTCAGGGCACCGGGTTTTTGTAGCAAATGCTTTTAACCCCCGGAGTCATCTTGTCACCCCTCCATCCTCTGTGGTGAGACAAGGTTGCATGTAGTCTGGGCTGGTCTCAAACTCACTATGGAGCTGAGGATGACCTTGAACTCTGGATCCTCCTGCCTTAGCGTGGGGGCTACAGATGTGTGCCACGCTGCCTGACCCCATGTGATTTTCTAGAAAGGTCTCTCAGCAGACAGACAGACAGGCGGGTGGCTTACCTTGCCCAGACAGATCTGCTGAGAGCTGCCGGACTTCCTTCCCAGCAGTTATCTCCAGGGTGTATTTGCCCTTATCTGAGTCCTTGGGGTCCAGGATGTGGAGCCAGATCTCATCCAGGGTGGTGCCTGCCCTTACCCGGTCGCCACTCTCCAGACGCTTATCTCTGAATGCAAAGGCAGAGAATGGCTAAGGCTGACTGTGGGTCTGACTCCCTGTTTGCAGGCCCTCTTTTGGGGTGTTGTTTTCAGATGGGGGACTGAGAAGTGTGACCACCCTCCAAACAGTTGCTATAGAACCATTCACAAATTCATTGTTCATGGTTTCAGTCATCATCTGACCACCATTCACCCCATTCATTGTCCAGGGTTTCATTCATCATCAGATCATCTATTCATTCAGCATTTAACCACCCATTCATTTATTCCTTCTTTCATCAAATCCCATGGCAGATCAACTTCATACAAAAGCTGGGTCTCTGTCTGTCCTACGACCTGCAGCCTGGGACAATGAGCAAATGGCCTTCTTGAAGCAGTGACTTCCCTGCTTCATTCCCTTCATTCACTCCCCCACCTCATTCCCATCTTAACCCTCCTGGGGTTTCTGCCCAGTCATTCCTAACTCAGAAATCAGCAAAGGTTCAACTCTTTCTCTTCTCTACTTAAATTTCCTCCCTGAAGACACCAAGCCCATGTTCCCAAGGTTCTGTTGCCTAGGCTTATTGTCACAGAGCTCAGAAACTCTGGCTAGAAAAGGGGCCCCCATCATCCTGACGCTTCCCGTGGCCCTCATGCTCTCTCATTGTACAGATTTGCCCAAGTTGGTCCAGACTTTGATGTGGAATGGGTGTAGCCTTGGCTACTTCGCAGGACCAAGACATACACATGACAAGACACTCTACGGAGATCCCGTTCTCAAATGATCTGGGGGATTTCCTGTCCTGACCGTCCCACAGCTCTGTCTGGCTGTACCTGCTTCCTGAGCCTGGCTACCCGGGTTTGCAGAGGCCCACAAGTTCAGCATCACTCTTGTGACTGGCTCTCCCTGATTCCCAGATCCTCTCCTCCCTTGGTTTCCAGACACTGCTCTGGGACCATAATCCTGTTGTCATGGAGACCTCAGATAAGTGGTCCTACCACCAGCATTCCCATCTTCCCTGGGGGAAGACTCTTTTATCCCTCTCATTCCAGTGGACAGACCTGTGTAAGAACTTCCCCTCTGCTGGTCCCTTGGGTCTGGGACCCGTGGGAGGACTAGGTAGGGGGAGTAGGAGAATCCTAATGGGGGAGGTGCTGGGATCTTTCAGCTTGCACAGTCTCTGGTTCAAGGCCAACCTACTTGTGGAACCAAGCAGTCTTCATGTACTCCACATGGTAGTATTTGACCTTGCTGAAGAGCCGGATCCCCTCCTCAGTCCCCTGGATTTTCAGTGGCGTTGCTGAGAGAGCTGAGGATGCAGAGGCCAAAGGTGAGCCTCCCCCAAGGAGCAGTGAGTGGTGTGTTTTGGGCCCAGCCCGCTTGATGCAGCTCTGGGCCGTAAGGTAGGGACACAATACTGTGTGGGGGCTTCTGTCCCCCTCCCGAGGGCAGACACTAGACCCATGCCCGCAGCTGAGGCTACTGGGGGAATCCTTGGAGGCTCATTGGCATCAGGACAAGGCAAAGAGGAGGGGCATGCTCACTTACCACCAATCCTGCCCAGCTCAGTGAGGACAGCATCCAGGGCTGGGGAAGACAGAGAATGTTCAGCTGGGTGGCTTCCCTTAGGGATGTCCAGGGGTGGTGGCAGTGTCTTTGGAGAAGGGTGAGGGAACTCAGAGCCTCTCTGAGGGTGGAGAGCTCTGGAGAATGACTTGGGAGTGGGAGGGGTTCTTGGGTGGTGAGTGATAGATCAGGCATTAACACTGATATCCAATAACTTTCTGGTGAGCTGTGTCAACCAGCCTCAAGAACTGCAAGTGCCCTCTGTGTGTGGGGAGGTGTCTTCAAGCCTGGATTAACTGTGGCATGCCACAGTACCATACCAGGTCCCTACTATTGGCTAGCTGTGCAATCTTGGGCAACTTAAATTGCTCTGTGCCTCAGTTTCCCCAAGTGATATGGAGAGCCCATACATCTTAGGCCACAAGTCACACCACAGTCTCTTGCTCCAGTGTGGCCCATCTCTGACATCACTGGCTCCTACCTTCACCTGTGAGGTCCAGGACAGTGTCATCCTCCCCTCTGTCATCGGAAACCACTGCTCTGTAGATTCCCTGGTCTTCTTTGGAAAACTGCAGAAGAGGATGACAGTGTGTGCCAGGGTTCCAGAAGGAGAGGTGACAGCAAGTCAGAAGGTCCCAGGTCCCAACCCTGTGTGGCCTCTGTCAGCTCTGGAGTTGGTGCGTCTAGGAAGTATGTGCATGTGTGTCTGTGAGTGTGTGAAAATGTGTGTGTGTGTGAGTGTGTGTGTGTGAGTGTACCTGTGAGTGTGTGATTGTATGTGTGAGAGTGTGTGTGTATATGTGTGAGAGCTTGTATGAGTGAATGTGGTGTGTATGTACACGCGCACACGTGTGTGTACTGAGGGTAGAAATGGACACCCTATCCGGATTCCCAGGTGGCTCCTTGGAGCTCAGCTCAATTCAGCCTGGGCAGAACTTGCCTATAGAAGACACAAACTCTCCAACATGCTCTGAGATCTCCCTGAGGCCCTGATGCAAGGTCCCCAGAAGAAAGCATGTTTTCCTTGGCTCAGAACTCGGGGTCCTTCTGGCCTGTGTTTGCAGCCTCAAATTAAATCCAAAGCAACAACCACCGAAGTGAGAACCATTTGCCCTTTTGAGAATGTTTGCTGAGGATGGAACCTTGGTGTCTCATGTGCTAGGGAAGGCATCTGAGCTAGCCTCGGTCTAGGGGCATGCTTTGGGGGCAAGAAGCAGAGGTCAGAAGAGACATCTTATCAGAAGGCAACTCCTTTAGGGCTCCTCAAAGGTCCCTCCCACCCAGGCCACCTCCACATACTGCCTTTAGGGCAGGATCCAAGGCAGAGGTTGGTCTTCCCCTACAATACAACATCCTCTTTACCCACAGGAGGCCATAAAGTCCCAGTCATATTGGGGTGCTACTGGAGAGGGCAAAGGTCCCTAGAGTGGCCACCGGGGTGGACAGAAGACCAAGGACGCCTCAGCCTTGTGGAGCAGACATGGCTGCACCCGTTGGGGAGTGATTCCTGACCTCACTCTAGCCTCATTCATGTCCTTGCATTTCACCCGGCAGAACCTCAGTTTACTCACGTGTGAAGCAGTTCTGACATTCTAGCTGTACCCCAGGTTCTGAGAGGACCCAGGGATGAACACCACGAAAGCCAGAAAGCTCCGCCTCACAGGACAAGTGATTATATCAAGAGTCCATTGGTGGATTCTTGGCGCCTGACTTCTCTGGTCTCGGTCTGTGAGACCAGTGAACCTGCTGGGGAGTTTCTTTGCCCAATATACCTCTTGTTACACTTTTTCAGTTCAGCTTGATTTGGCTTACTTCATAGGTGGAGAAACTTATGGGGGTGGGTGGGCAGAAAACCTATTAGTGATCATAGGCATGTGATCCTACTACAATCAGCTCAGGATTAGACCTTTCAAGTCTCTGTAAACTATTCAAATGAAAATCCCTCACAGGCCAGGTGATGGTGGTGCACGCCTTTAGTCCCAGCCCTGGGAGGCAGAGGAAGGCAGATCTCTGTGAGTTTGAGGCCATCCTGGTCTACACAGTGAGTTCCAGGACAGCCAGGACTGTTTCACAGAGAAATCCTGTCTCGAAAACCAAAAAGAAAGAATCCATGAATATTAAGTACCTCCTGAATGACACACCCCTTTGAGGTGAATGCTTCACAGTGACAAAGGCTGACAGGGCACTGTCCTGGTCAAGGTGTGGGAGAAGACCCTGGACTTATCACTTCCTTTCTAGTCGGAACCTGTGATCAATGTCCAGTGCCCTCAGCACCCAGCCAGAAGGTCCTGGGAGTCAGCAGCAGACAGAGGCATCTGGCAGGTGGGAAATCAGCCTGGGATTTCTCTCCCAGCCTGCCTTAGTCCTCTGGGGACTGTGTGTAGGAAAGAATCCAGCTCCAAGCCTGCTTTTCTCTGGACCTGCCTCACTGGAGGACATCGTCCCTGTCCTCAACACTAGACTGGGACAGGGAGCTCACAGAGAACAGATAATTGTAAGGTCGGAGAGGGCCAGTGACTAGCCCAAGGCCGCAAATGCTGGATCAGAACCAGGCCTGGATTCCAAAACAGGAAAAAAAAAAGTCAGTAACAAGTAATACTGGGCCTGTCTTTTGAAACATTTATGTCCCAGTTTTTAATGTTAATTTTGAGTTTAAAAAATTGCATAAGTTTTTTTTTTGTTGTTGTTGTTGGTTTTTTTTGGACTCTTGTAACCTAGGCTGGCCTCAGACACCTTATTTAGTTGACAATGACCTTGAACTTCTGATCCTCCTGCCTCCCCATGGGACTGTAGGTAAGCACTTTCACACTTGGTTTATGTGGTGCTGGGGAGTCAACACAGGGCTGTGCGCATACTAAGCAAGCTCTTTACCAGCTGAGCTACATTTCCAAGTCCCTGTATTTATCTTCTAAAAAACATTCTCTTTAAAAACTTTATGTGTATGAGTGCTTGTTTGCTTGTGTATCTGTGCACCATGTGAGTGTAATGCCCATGGAGGCCAGAAGAGGGCGTCAGATTCACTGGAACTGGAGTTACAGACAACTGTGAGCTGTCCTGTGGGTTCTGGGAACTGGAAATCTGGGTCCTCCGCAAGAGCCACTGAGGCAGCTCTCCAGCCCCTGGTATTTATCTCGCTGGGTTCTGGTGCTCCCGTGTGACTGGCTGTGCTCCGGCTCCACCCAGTGCTCTTGGCACCGCCTGGTTGGCAGCTGATCAGGGTGAACCTGGAACTCAGCCGCACTTACCGTCTCAATGCCGAGAAGCCCGTCTCCGGTCTGCGGGTTGTACTGCCCACTGGGAGCCTCTTTCTTCTGGAAGAGCCACTGGAAGCGGGTCTCCTTCTTGGTGTTGGTCACCTGAGGGCAGTGTGAGGGGACGCCATCAGTCCACCGGACTTTCCATTTAAAAACAAAAGCCTAACTCCGGATAGCTTCTTCACATGCACAGCTCCTCCCACTGAGACTCACTAGTCAGCTGACCCTTCCTCACACCATGGGTCGGTCTCCTCTGGATCCTGACTTTTCCTAAAGTTACTCCCCCCCTTGACCCTTTCTGCTGTTTTCTTGTACACACTTCTTAACGAGTCAGATGACATCTCCTCCAGGGAGTCTTCCTGGAGCTGCCCCCCCCCCCCAGTGTCTCTCCTGCCCTATAATTAAACCATTTCCTGACTGTGTCTGGTCAACTACAAGGCATGCTGTTTTTCAGTGATTCTGCCTTGCGTTGAGGGTTCCCAGAGGCCTAAGAGAACTATGTATGACCAGGACCTCCTGAGCCCTGGTGGTTTTCTTCTCGGTTTGTTGGTGAGGGGCCCTTGCATGTTATCAAAGCAGCTGCAAGATGCTGGAAGGACCTGGGCTCTGGAGGCAGGGTGGCTCGGTGGGGAGCCGGCCCCTGTGACCTGTGTCTTCAGCTACTTCCTTATTTGTTTTCTCATCTCTGAGGTGAAGTATAGATGACTGTGAGGCAGGTAAAATTAACCCATACCTCGGTGCACTGAGCAGTGTTCGGCAAGGGTTAAAATAAACAGGAAGCTCGTCAATACAGAGAACCCTCACTAGCTCCCAGCTCTCTGGGGCTGGGAAGCTGCTGCTGACTCAAGCCACACTAATCCTGTGCTACCCCCCACCCCATGTGTGTATGTCTGTGTGTCTGTGTGTGTGTGTTTATGTATGAGTGTATTGTGTATATGTGTCTACATATGTGTGTATATGTGTATATGTATTATGTGTGCATGTGTGTGCATATATGTGTGTGTGTATGTATGTATGTATGTATGTATGTATGTATGTATGTATGTGTGTGTGTATGTGTGTATGTGTGTATGTGTCTATATATGTATGTGGGGGGGTACTTCCCGAGTGTGGGATCAGCCAGGCACAGGAGATAAAATTCCAGAATGGAGTGGGCAAGGACAGCCACTGGACTTGGAGATGAGTCACTGGGCTGATGGCAGTGAGATGGGTGGAGACTTGCCTTGCATGTCAGAAGCACTTGGCAGTCCTCTGTGACTTTCCACTTCAAAGGCTCCTGGAAATATGGACCTGCAGGGGACGAGAACACATTCTTGAGTCCTGTGTCTAGGCTGAGCCAGGGCGCCACCTGGTGGTCAGACAGGGAAACTCAGCAGGGCAGGAGACTGCTAAAGACCCTGGTCTCCCAAGATCAGGACAAGGAGCTGGGGTGAAGCGAGGTGCCTGGGAGCTCCTTAAATGAAAATAACTTCAAGGAGGCACTGGCTCTGGGCTGGGAAAATGAAGTTTCATTCTGTCCTAGGGCAGGGCTTGAACAGGTCACGGTGAACGTCCCTGGCTGGGTTGGTATTTTCCACCGCAGATCACCGGTTCTTACCCTGCTTTCTCTTCCAGTCTCTTCTGGTTGCATCTGCCTTCCTCAGGAGCTTGTCAAAATCTGTGAAGACATCGGGAGGAAGCGGCATGAGCGGAGAGCACAAAGGTCCCCAGAGTGGGCGCTGGGGTGGACAGACGAGCAGGGGCGTGCTCCGTGGACCCCAGAGCTGTGAGCGGAGAGCCTCGGGAGGGTGCATAGGGAAGGGTGGGTTCAAGCTGGCGGGCAGGTGCTTCGTGGGGAGGGAGGGCCCGGCTGACCGTCATCCACCAGGGTGAGGGTGATCTGGTTCTTGGCTTTCCCATCTTGGAGCTGGGCGGTGTACGATCCCTTGTCATCTTCGGACAGTTGCTGGATGATAACCTCCACCAGGCCCTTCTCTCGGACAAAATTGATCTTGCGGTTCTGAGGGAACAAATCCCGGAGTCCTTTTTTGAGCATTTCCTGTTCTGGGAGCTCTGCCAAGGGGCACACCTCAGAATGTGATCAAGATTGGGGTGCTATGTGCAGAACTGTCAATGTCCAGGGAGTGGGGGAGGGGTTCCTGGTTCCTGCGAGAATAGATTGGGGTCCCCAGCACCCTATGCTTTAATTAATTATGATTTAGTAATAAACTCTGTACCTTCAGTATGTCTCATTGTTGGTTATTCTCAACCTTTTTTTTTTTTTTACAATTTAAGTGAAAAATTACTACATTTTAATTTAGTGTGTGTGTGTGTGTGTGTGTGTGTGTGTGTGTGTGTGTGTGTGTTTTGGGGTGGGGAATGCATAGGCCACAGCACATGTGTGGAGGTCAGAGAACAACTTGTGGGAGTCAGTTCTGTTTTCTCCTTCCATTATGTGGATCCTGAGGATTGAACTGATGTCACCAAGCTTGGTGGCAAGTGCCTTTGCCCACTGGACCATCTCTCTCCCACCCCCAATTTTTTGTTTAAATGATTGATTTATTTATATTTTATGGGTATGGATGTTTTGCCTGTCTGTCTGTCTGTCTGTGTACCATGCTCATGCAGTGCCCATGGAGACCAGAAGAGGACATCAGGTTCTTTAGAACTGGAGTTAGAGATAGTTGTGAGCTGCCATGTGGGTGCTGGGAGCCAAACCCGGGCATCCTCTGCAAGAACAGTCAGGGCTCCTAACCACTGAGCAATCTCTCCAGCCCCTGGCCCCCATAATTTTTTGAAGCAAAGTCTCATGTAGCCCAGGCTGGCCTCAAACTTGCCCTGTAGCTGAGTATGACCTTGAACTTCTGGTCCTTCAGCCTGAACCTCCTAAGTGATGAGATCATAAGCTAGCAGTACCTATGCCCAGTATTCCCTTTACAATTTAATACTCACTCTCTAGAAATAGCAGTCATTTACATTCTGCGGCACACTAACAGTTTAGAAGTTTTATTCTCTGAATTTAGGTCCTTACTACCCCTGGCTTTACTTGCAAGCATGATTGAAGGGAATGACCTACTTGTATTTTTCCGTAAGGATGGCTGATTATCCAAACAATGTACATTGAAAGCCTCTAGACCAGTGGTTCTCAATTTTCCCAATGCTGTGACCCTTTAATACAGTTCTTCATGTTGTGGTGACCCCCAGGCATAAAATGATTTCATTGCTACTTCATAACTGTATGCTACTGTTATGAATCAGAACATAGATATCCATGCTTTCTGATAGTCTTAGACGATCCCTACAAAAGGGTTGTTCAACCCCCAAAGGGGTTGAGACCCACAGTTGAGAACCACTGCTGTAGACCTCACAGTGCCTCTCATAACATGTGGCAAGCTCAGTGTGTACTCTTTACACACAGCTTTCAAAGTACTGCCAGGCTTATTCTTTTTTGACCCTGGAAAAACGTGCCCTGCTGTGCACATACAGAGAGGGAGGTAGAGAAGGGAACACAGGGCACCCACAGGGCTGGGCATGCGTTCCCCACATCTGTCTGGTATTTCCTCTGATTCAAACCATCATCCCCTTCTCTGGAAGATCGATCTGTCCGTCCCTCCCTGCCTTCCTTCCTTTCTTGGTTCTAACTCAGGGTCTTTTTTTAAAATTAATTAATTAATTAATTAATTTATTATGTATACAGTGTTCTGCCTGCATGTATGCCTGCATGCCAGAAGAGGACACCAGATCTCATTACAGGTGGTTGTGAGCTACCATGTGGTTGCTGGGAACTGAACTCAGGACCTCTGGAAGAGCAGTCAGTGTTCTTAACTTCTGAGCTATCTCTCCAGCCCCTAACTCAGGGTCTTGCCCATGCTAAGTGTGTGCTCTACCACTGACTTGCATCCCTGCCCTAATCCATGTTTGCCATGTGGAGATGAAATCCGCAAGTGACCACTGTCATGAGACTGAAATTGTCACATTTTCAGGTAAAAACAATTGAATGTCCACAGCCCCTTCTAACCTATTTACATTCCCCATGCATTAAAATGAAAACAAGACAATACTCCTGTATAAATATCATTTAAAATAAAACCCTATGTATTTCAGCATGTAGATTCTTGGATACAACACACAACCCCTGACCTACAGTCACAGCCCCTTGTTCTGATTTTTAATGAGGGGGGGAAAAGCAAAGGATGAGAACAGGAAGACGAACAAGCAAGTGTAAAGCAGCTGAGAGAAGAGCAGCTCTTCCCTGGATGCTGTCTGGTGAGCCTGTATGAAAGCGCTATAGATTTCTATCTAAAGCAGAGGTTTAGGCTTGGGAAGCTGTCAGCCCCAGCATAGGCTTCCATCTTAGGGATGCTGGGGAGGACATTTGAAAGCGGCAGTGGGTGTGGAAAGTGCTTTGTAGACATGTCCCCTGAACTGGTTAGTGACCAGTACTCTGCGTCCTCTTCCTGTCCCCGCCTGTCATGTACGGGGAACACCAGGGCTTGTACAAAATGGATGCAACCCCCCCCTCCCCCAGAAATGGCAGCTATTTCAGAAATGACAGCTGGCCCCAGGCCCCAGCTCACAGGTGAGGCCTTGGGGCAGGGGAGCTCCCCGGGGCTGTGGGCACCATTTACCGGTGAGCTGAAGATCTCTTTCTCGTTGAAGATGAGGTGTAGCTCGGCGGCTGGCGACAGCTGCTCCACCTCCAGCCAGAGCCGCACCTCGCCTTGCTCGAGGATGTCCACGTTCCAGCCAGAGATCAGCTTGATGACTGGGAGACACAGTAGGGTGTGGGGAGGGGCCCTCTCCTCTCTGAACTCTCCTGGCCCCACCCAGCCTCACCCTTGGCAGAGCCTGAAGGAGCTGGGCCTGGCTGGAGGCCTGCAAGTTTTCTACAGACTGAATTGACCTCAGAAAAGCATTTCCTCGTCAAGGCACCTTAAACGCTGGAGTCTGGGCTTCACCCCTGCCCATTTTGACTTGGCTGGGGCATGGCCTGGGCACGAGATTTAGAAAAGTTCCCAAGGTGATTCCAATACGTGATAAAGTGTTGGACTGGATTTAAGGATTCCACTGTCCAGAGACGAAGGAAGTGGAGGTTTAGATGATCTCATGTCCAGATGTCTCAAGAGCTCATAGGGATGAAGATCATGGTGGTGGTGGTGGTGGTGATGATGATGATAGTGGGGATGATGGTGATGATGATGGTGGTGATGGGTGGGGATGATGGTGGGTGGTGATGATGGTGATGATGACAATAGTGATGTGATGATGGTGATGATGATGATGGTGGTGATGGGTGGGGATGATGGTGGGTAGGGATGGTGATGATGATGGTGGTGGTGATGATGTGATGATGATAGTGGTGATGGGAGGGGATGATGGTGGGTAGGGATGGTGATGATGATGATGGTGGTAGTGGTGACAACAGTGATGGTGATGATGGTGATGGTATTGATGGTGATGACGACAATAGTGATGTGATGATGGTGATGATGGTGATGATGGTAGTGGTGACAACAGTGGTGGTAATGATGGTGATGATATTGATGGTGGTGATGGTGATAAGGGTGGTAGTGATGATGATGATAGTGATGCTTATGCCTTGTAAGGAACTGCCTTGTTTTCCTTCTTCACACATCTCTGGCTCCCTGCTGGCTGTCCTTTCCTCATCCACATGCGTCTGGTCTCTGGTCTTCCAGTCTGTGGTTCCCCTGGCTCTTGCTCCCACCGTATATCCTTGCTGACTGACTCAGTTACATCTGCCTGACTCAGTTCTGCTCAGCACATGTTCACGGGCCTTTAGGAACCAGAGGAAGCTGCACCTCAGTGTTTACCTGGGTTTCTGATCTCATGACTCAACTTCTTCAGCTTGTTCAGCTCTGGGACAGTGAGGGGCAAGAAAGAAAACAGATGTGACATTAGGTCCCAGGGTCCCACTACATCCATTCTGAGACATTCCAAGAGAGCTCCATATTGCCATCATCTTGGGGTCACATGGTTCACAGAGGCTGGTGGTGAGAACTGTGGGCTTTGGTCCTGGGGCACTGTGGGAGATGCTGTAGCTACCCTTGGCCACCCCAAGGTTGCATGCTTCCCACCTGCTCAGAAAAGCACCTCTTACATGCCAGGCTCTGCAGGCGTGACCACATTAGTACCCAGCTCTGGTGAGGCTGAGCCTCAAGGTCCACTTGGCTCCTATGGGCACTGGTGATTGGGCTTTGGATCAGGATTTGTTTCCCTGAGGAGGTGGCAGGGAGTAAGGCCATTACCTTCCTCTGTCAGCGTGTGGCTTGCGGAGGTGTCTTCGTCAGCATCGGTGACCACCACTGAGTAGATACCCAAGTCTTGAAGGTCAGGTTCTTTCAAGATGACCTTGGACCTGGCAGAGAGAGGCGAGCTGATGCTCTGTGATGGGGCTTTGGGCTCATGAAGGGCAGGAGCTGGAGAATCTTGGCTCTGCAGCCTGTGCCCTGTCCCAAGTCCTGGCCAAGCTTGCAGCAGGGACAGCTATTCCCTTGCACTCTCTTGAGGTCCCCTGTGGCCAGCAAAAGCTCTGGAGCTGGGCAGTGGGGCACATGATCTGCAACCAAGCAGCCAGTGACTCCGTGCATGCTTGAGGATTGCAGGCAGCGGTAAAGCATCCTTAAAGAATGCCTTCATGTCCGCCCGTGAAGGCACCCTCCCTTGCTTCCCCCGAGCTGGCAGCTAGCACCGCCATGGCAGACCGGGCAGCTCTGGCCAACCTGCGTGTCTCGATGCCAGTTCTGCCCCCCGTAGATGCTGCCCCCATGCCCCACTCACTTGTTAATTTCGTCCTCCACCTCCACCCTCTGCGGGTCGGGAGGACCCTCGTAATCCTTCGACCACTGAAACTCAGAGAAGTCGGGGGCTTCGGGGGCTTCGAATGCCAAGTAGATTTGGCCCTCCTTGTCCACGCCAACTTCAATCTCCTGCGCATCTGGGGGTGAGGTCCAGGGAGGGACAGTGGGCGTGTTATGACTGGGTTGGGTCGGTTCCCTGATTAGAGCTCAGACTTCTTGAGTCCTTTTTGACTGACTTTTCCTCTTCCTCCCTCTTTCCCTCCTCTTCCTTCTCCCTGCCTCTCTTAATTTTTCTCTTTAACATAAAATTTTGCTACATTAGCCCAGACTGGCTTTGAATTCACTATGTAGTCCAGGCTATCCACGACTCTACAACCTTGACCTTTGGAGTGCTAGGGTCATGGGTGTGTACAACCACACCTGGCTCCTGTCTCTAAAAACTCCTTTTCTCTTTGCTTTCTTCTCATCCCTGCAGTACTGTGACAAAACCCAGAGCTGGGTTAGCCCTCCACCACAGAGCTACATCCCCTCCTTACTCCTGGCTATCCTAAAACTTCCTCATGGACTAGTTTGCCATCTGCCTTTATTGTCCATCCACTCCCTGCACCTGTCTCCCCTCTCACAACAGCAGAGATCCGCTGCCTCACCCACAGCCGCGTCCCTGGTGCATGGTGCATGTGGACCTAGATCTGCTGCCTCACCCACAGCCGCGATTCCATGCATGTGGGCCCAGATCCACTGCCTCACCCACAGCTGCTTCCCCGGTGCATGGTGCATGCAGACCTAGATCTGCTGCCTCACCCACAGCCGCGTCCCCGGTGCATGTGGCCCTCACCAAGTATTTGTGGGTTGAATCCTTATCAGAATGTGCTTTATAGCGAGCCGTGTGGGTGAGTCTGTTGTCTGTGGGCCTTGGTGGTTGAACTGTTTTGCACTAGAACAAAGTGAGTCCTACTGTGTGAGGACCTGGGCGCAACTCTTGACATGCATCGCAGGAGAGACTGCAGGCCCTGGGAGCTCAGGAGAGACAAAGCTCCACAGAGTGGCTGAGGTGGAACTGGGTACCAGTTCAGGTTGTTGCGTAACTTCATGCGTATGGCATGGAAAGCATGGAAGATGCCCTCACAGCCTGTGGAAGAGGGTGGTGAGGGGCACAAGCCCGAGGGAAAGTTGAGCTGGCAGTGGGTAGAGTGGTGGGTGGGTCAGAGCCTCCAGATGCATCCTCATGTGTCTCCTGTCTTCCCTCTGAGCATCCCCTGCACCCAGACCCCGGTCCCTCCGTGCAGCCTGGCACTCCCTGGTCATCGTACCTGGCTTGTCCTCCAGGAGCACAAGGTCAGTGGGCACCGATGGTTGTCCTAGCCCCGCTGAGTTCATGGCCTGGACCCTGAACATGTATTGCTTTCCTGGCTGCAAGTCAGAAACCTGGGGGTGGGAGAGCAGATCATGAGGACAGGAAAGGGGGCATCTGCCCACACTGTCCAGAGCTGCTGGGACCCCACCTGGGCTGGGGCAGGCCAGGAATATGCCCTTTTCCTGGGATCTAGGGTGCGTTTTGATTTCTTTTTGAGATAGGGCCTCTCTATGCTGCCCAGGCTGACCTGGAACTGGCCATTTTCCTGCCTTACCCTCTGGGCTACTGAGGTTAAAGGCCGGTATCCTCGTTCTTGGCTTCCAAGTTCTAATTTTCGTTTGTTTTAAGACAGGGTCTCTTGCAGCTCAGGCTGATCTTTAACTTGCTTATGCAGCTGGGTCTGGCCTGGAACTCCCCAGCCTCTTGTCTGTACTCCCCAAGTCCCGGGATTTCAGGCACACACCACCATGCCTGCCTGTCAGTTCCAGTTTTCCATTGGTCTCCCTCTCTGGCTTTATCCTCTGGGCGCTGATTGAATGTCACTGTCTTCCCATCTAGAAAGCCCTTCCTTCCTGCATTCCTCATCTCTCACAGAAACTGCCTTCTCCTCAGAGGCTCTGAGACAGACCTGGATCACCTCCCATGCTCCTTTCTTAGCCCTAAACAAGTTATTTTTCTTTCTTCCTCCTAATGGCACTGGGGATTGAACCCAGGCCCTCCTGGGTGCTAAACACATACTCTACCACTCAGTTACATCCCTAACATTAAAAAAAGTTAGCTGGGTGTGATGGTGCATCCCTTTAGTCCCAGTACAGAGGCACAGATCTCTGAGTTTGAGGCTAGCCTGGTCTACATCCAAGTTCCAGGTCAGCCAGAGCTACACAGTGAGACCCTGTCTCAAAATTAATCAATTAATTAATTTTTGGAAACAGTGTCATGTAGGCTAGACATGTAGTCAAGGATGACATTGAACTTCTGATCTTTTTGCCTCTACCTCCTGGGCGAGGAGATTGTAAGCCACCATGCTTGGCTTACCTGGTGCTGGGGATGAAATCCAGGACCTTGTGCATCCTAGGCAGGCAGTCTTCTACCTGAGCCACATCCTCAGCTCTCATATTTTGTTTTGAAACAGGGTTTCAATAAGTTGCCCAGGCTGGCCTTGAACTTGCTCTGGAGGCCAGGCAGGCTGTGAACTTCTTACCCTCCGGCCTGGGCCTTCGGGGTAGCAGGGATTAGACGGCAGTACCAAATGTGGCTCCTTAAGGCGTCTTAAAGGAGGCGCTCCTGTCCGTGTTCCAGCTGTGCCTCGATGGAAACCCTCTCTCTGTTCTTTTGGATTAGCCCCACAGTTCCCTCAAACATATTTCTGCCCCTGGACCTTTCTCCAGTCTGTCTTTACCTCTGCCAATCTGACTATGCCTAAACCTTCCAGTGGTCTTCAGGGTCAATTTCCACTTCTGATGTTTATGATCTAAAATCTTCCAGTGTACCTCTGCCCTCTTCCTCCTATGTGAGTGACCGTCACTCGAGAGCTCCCCCAGGGTCCCCGGCCTTTGCCTTTGCCCTTGCTGAGGTCTCTGCCTAGACACCCAGCCCACTTCCTTCTCGGCTAACTGATTCCAACCCAGGCGTCCTTATTCAGCCGTGATGCCAGGATGCCAGCAAGCTGCTCTGACTTTCCTCCCTGGAGCTCCCAGAATCCCTCTGATCCCTTCTGTCACCAATGCCCAGGGCATGTTTAGCTTAAAATGTCTGGGACCTGGTCCAGATCTGGCAGTAAGTAGGTGTCAAAAAGTGGTTAGTGAGTGGCAGCCAACCGTCCCAAGGTGGAAACCAGTGCCAAGTCCCGGAGGCCATCTGCCCTGGCCTGGGCCAACACACGGGAAGCGGCAAGAAGACCATCCACCGTGCGCTGGCCGACCCTACGGTGGGGAGACTGACCCAGACTCTGCCAAACTTCTACCTCTTCACTGGTCTCACCTTATGTCCACACTCCTGTGTCTAGAAGACCTAATGTCATCTAAACATTTCAGCTTCGAAGCCACCATTTGATAGTGACATTTGTCGGTATAAAAGACTTTCCCTGTATGTCTTCATTTGTTCCCGAGGATCTTGTTTTCTTGGTATTTGTAATTACAACTGACGTCTGCCAAATGCTGTAGCTGGGAGGACAGAGGGGCAGAAACTCACCCTGAGGTGGGTGCCAGAGGTGGCGTCTGGGGAGACAGGCTTCCACTCCTCAGAGCCTTTCTCCTGGAAGCTGACTCGGTAGCCTGTGACTGGCCCGGCTCCTATATACAGTGGGGGCTCCCACTGCAGCATCAGGGAGGTGGCCTGTACCTCAGACACCCTCACATCATATGGGGGGCCTGTGAGGGATGAAATATGGGCAGAGATGTGGGTTGTTCAGCCAGGCAACAGCTAGCTGACCATCCGTCAGCCTTCTAGCCAGACAGGTGGGCAGCAAGCTGTGCAAGTCAGTGTGCAAGCAGTGGGCTGTAAGTGTGCAAGCTGGACAGTTTGTCAGTCATCACTGAGTCTGGAAGTGACTCCTGAGGGCACAGAGAGACCTGGCCCAGCCTTGGTTACACAACGCTTAACCTTGGACCTGAAGCTTCGCTGTTTAAAATACGCTCAGCATCACCTCCTCCCAGAAGCCTCCCTGACCTTCCCCGCCCCTTCTGAGACAGCATGACCCCTCCCAGACTTTTGCCACTTTGTTGTCAAGGATGGCAGGAGCACTGGTTATGACCTCCAGAGCCAGACTGCTAGGGTCATGTCCCAGCTCCACCCTTCCTAGTGATGGGGACTTGGAATTATTTAACCTTGGTGATCCTGTCTCCTCACCTCAAAGCGAGGCAACAACAATTGTTATTACATGGAGCTGTAGAAAGCAATTGGGGGGGGCGGGGGGGGCATCATTGTAATACCCAGGGCACCCCACATGCCAGTAAGTGCTCCACTGCTGAGCTATTCCCAGCATCTGGGGAAGGTTTTATGTGGAATACAGAACTGAGACACACAGGGCGATGTGGCAGAGACTTTCTTCCTAGGAACTAGAGAGCTAAGAGGCTTCTGGTAGGACAGCCAGTAAGGTTGCAGGAGTTGTGTTCAGGGTGGCTGACTGTCCCTGGTTGTCCAGGAGTGGGTTTGAGGGTGCTAGATTGAAAGTCCTGGGCGAGCCTGGCTGTCCCGACAGTGTGGCCTTAGGGTTAATGAAAGGTCTGTGGCCAGAAAGAGATCAGATGGTGTCAAGGTGGGTGACAGTTTGGCTGGGACCAGATCGTGGTCTAGTTAGGGATCCTCTCAGGCCGGCTTAAGATATAGTCTGCATCAGGGTTTACCTCAGAGGTTCTCAATCTGTGGGTCATGACTCCCTTGGAGGGGGCATTGAATGACCCTTTCACAGGGGTCACATATCGGATATCCTGCATATCGGATATTTACATTATGATTTAGTAGCAAAATTACAGTTATGAAGTAGCAACAAAATAATCTCACGGTTGGGCGGTCACCACAACATGAGGAACTGTATTAAAGGGTCGCAGCGTTAGGAAGGTTGAGAGCCACTGGTTTACAGGGTCAGCTTGTGCAGGATGTGGGGTCTGGACCAACAGAACAAGGCAGGACGCCCAGGGTGGGCAGTAACATTTGTGTTGTTGGTATGATGACGGGGAGTGGGGACAAGTCTGGGTATTGGCTCTCGGTCTCTCACCTGGCTCGGGCATCGTCCACTCTTTGCACTCAAACAGGCTGCTGGGTGCCGACAGCTCGCCAGTACCCGCCCAGTTCACTGCCCGGGCTCGGAACTCATAGAAATGGCCTTCCTGAAGGTTGGTGACCTGCAGAGGTGGAAAAGTCAGATCGTGGAACTGAGGCTGGGGCAGAGAAGTGGGAGGTACCGTGGTGGCGGGACAGCCAGAGCGGGAGACCTGTGGGGGCTTCCAATGCGGCTGTTCTGGGGGCCACTGGGTGGCAGGGCCTGGGGAAGCCCGAGGCTGTTCCACCATGCTTCTTGCTCCTTACACAGCAGTAGTGATGGAGGCTGCAGCCTCACCTTGCACACCCGGCTTGGGATAGGCTGATGGTTGACTGGATGCCAGTCTGACTCCTCCGAATCGTGCTGGTCCACAAAGTAGCCCAGGATCTTGCCACCTCCACGCCGTTTGGGGGGTTTCCAGCCAATGACCATTTCATTCTTTCCACAGGATAGGAGTGCAAAGTCATATGGGGCCGATGGGGTAGCTGTGGGGAGGCAAGGACTAAGGAGGGGGCTCCTTGGGGGTGGCTGAATTGAGCAGTGGGGCCCCAGGGAGCTGATAAACCTCCCCTGGTGGGTGCCCACCCCGATCTGGGAGTCCGCTCTGAGCAGCAGTGTCTGCTCCCTTCAAGGGTGTCTTGGTGTCTGATGTCTGAGCCTGGGAGCTCTCCCACTTCCCAGGGTCAGCACTGACCATGGCCTCAGGGCACTGTCACTTCCTCCCTGAAGGAAAGAGTGAGCAAAAGAGCTCCAGTCCCTTGAGAGAGTTTAGACCTTCCAGGACATGGCCTTGGCTCCTGCTCAGGCCAGGCTTCCCTGAGGATTGCAGGCTGGACCTGCCCTGGACTCACCCAGAGCCTGCTTGACCCTGACAGGCTGTGTCGCAGCTGAACTCTCGCCAACCCCAGCCTCGCTGACAGACCTGATGCAAAATTCATACTCCTTCCCAGTCCTCAGCCCTGGAACCGTGAACCTGGGAGGGAAAAGTTCAGTCCTCAGGGGTGTCCAAACAGCTGACAGAATCTCAACTGCTTATGGGATTCGATGGTCACTAGTGAGATAGGGGTAGAAGATTCGAGTCTAAAATATTGACCCCGTCTCTTGGTGACATACAAAATGGCACATGAAGAACATCGTCCCTAGGGTTGAAAAGAATATCTGTTCTTCTAGAACCCATCACCCACACGTAAAGATGAGGGACTGTGGGGTGGCGTAGTTGGTAAAGTGTGTACCACACACGCCCGAGGAAATGAGTTTGGTCCCTAGCACCATTGCCAAAGTGGTGTGTGGTGATGTGTATGCATAACTTCTGCTCAGGGTGTATGTGTGTGGGTAGAGACGGGATTCCTGAAGGAAAGATTCATTAACCGGCCAGCCTAGTCCATTAGTGAACTCCAGGTTCATTGAGGGACCCTGTCTCAAAAAATAAGATAAGATGCTGAACAGATGGCTCAACCTGACCACGCGAGTTTGGTTTCCAGGACCCATGTGGTGGAAAGTGAGAACTAATTCCCACAGGCTGGCCTCTGACCTCCACATGCACCCAGATTAACGAATAAACATAATTTTAAAATATCTTTAAAAGGTGGGCCTCGGGAGATGCTTCAGTGGGTAAAGTCCTTGTGGAGCAAGCTGAGGAGACGAGTTTTGCTCCTCAGGAGCCACAGAAAGCCAGACGTGGTAGTCTGTAATCCCAGCTCTCCTTAACAGGATGGGAGGCAGATAGAACTGCCCGTGGCCCACAGGCCAGCTATCCGAGCACACACAGCAGTGAACAAGGAACCCTAACTCAATCAAGTTGGAAGATGAGGACCGACATCAATGGTCATTCTCTGGCCTTCAAATGTCTACTATGTCATGTGCACAGTCACATCCATGAACATGTACACGCACGCACGCACGCACGCACGCACGCACGCACGCTCGCACGCATGCAAAGGTGGAGCCTGACAGAGGAAGCCGTCTAATGTCAACCTCTGGCTTCCACACTCACGTGCACAAACCTACACGAACACATATATGTACATATTCACCACATTGGCAAACATAAAAAGATGCAAAGATGCCTGGAAGGGGGCTGGGTCAAGGCCAAGGAAGCCGACCTCCTGCCCAGTGCTGCTGGATGCATGCTCATGCTCAGGATGCATGCTCAGCTTTGGAGAACAGTGTCTGGTATGATCTACACTGATGCCGTGACTCAGCTTCTGAGATTCCTTTGAAAGACCCTCCAGAGAATTATCATCCCAGGCCCTTCAAAGAAACCCTGGCTTGTAGGAAACTGCCTTCCTTATCCTGTTTCCTCTGGATGTTACAGGAACCCTGGGCCTCCCTTCCCCTCACCTACATTTCCTGTAGCTCTATGGGGTGCCTGTCTGACAGAGGTTACCTCCACCCTCAGACTCTTGTCAACAGGGGTCTCAATGAGCAGATGTGTTAAAACAGACCCTCTGGGTCCAGGTCCCCTGTCTTCACTTATTATAGGAACTTTGGCTAGGTCTAAGTTAAGACTCTGTGCCTCAGTTTCTCCATCTTTAAAATAATAGCGCAAACAACCATGTTGAAGGCAGGATTGCAGTGAGCGAGGAGAACTCAGCGGAAGAGCTTAGAGCGGCGCCCAGCCTGGGTGTCCTGGCCAGGAGCCAGTGAGACAGACTTACTTGGTGTCCAGGACAGGCTTGTTGTTCACCGTCTGCCACTCTGATGCCCCTGCTTCCCGGGAGTAGATGTAATAACCCAGGAGCTCTGTGCCACCCTCCACAGGCTCCCAGGCAAGGGAGACGGAGGTCTGTGTGTCTCGGAAAGCTTGAACTTGAGCTGGCGGAGGAAGAGTCACTGAAAAAGAGGGTCGGAGAGAGGGCACAGAGTTATGGTTCTGACAGGTGGGGGGGGAAGAAGGAGCACGGGGGGGGGGGGGGGATTTGGGAGGACTTCCCCAGCAGTCAAGGCAGTGGTTAGGTTCCTGACCTGCTACAGGGCTTTGGGACCACCCACGCTGAGTGTGCCTGATACCTACTCTCCTGTCCTACAGCACCTTGTTCCTCACTCAAGCACTAAGGCCTTCTACACCAATCTCAGTCAGTCCTTCTCCCTCCTCTCCCTCCCTCCCTCCTTCCTTTGCTCCTTCCCTCTCTCTATTCTCTATTCCCACCCTGCTCCAATTTGAACAGCTTTTCCCAGGTTTAACTTCAATCTTAAAAACAAAACAAACAAAAACAGAAACAAAAAACAAAACAAAAAAACCCCCAAACAACAACAACAACAACTTGATTTTCTTTTCTTGAAAATTCTATACTGATTTTCATGGTTCCCAAAGACCAAGTTGCTTGAATTGGGACTCCCATGATTTGCTAAATGGATGGACAGATGGTTGTTTGTATGTATATATGGAGGTGTACAAGCATGTATAGGTGGATGAATGGGTGGTTGATGTGTGTGTGTGTGTGTGTGTGTGTGTGTGTGTATGTGTATGGGTGGATATGTGTGTGCCTATGGGTGGGTGGGAGCTCCGATGAATGAGTGGGTGGGTAGAAGCTGATAACCCTGATGCTTACTACAGTGACCTCCAGAGGAGGAATCATGGGAAGAAGGGCATTTCCTATGGGCTTCCGGTTGTGGAATATTACTTTACCTATGTGAAGGTATGCTACATTTGTTTCTGCTGCCTTTGTTTAACTGCGTAAAGATGTGTCACATTTATTTCACCTTGCCTGCCTAAGGCACCTGATTGGTCTAATTAAAAGCTGAATGGCCAATAGCTAGGAAGGGGAAGGATAGGCGGGGCTGGTGGGCAGAGAGAATAAGTAGGAGGAGAATCTAGGCTTGAGAGAGAAGAGAAGGAGAGACACTCATCTGGGGCTAGAAGCCAGGCAGCCTCCAGCCAGCCATGGAGACAGCAGGAAAGTAAGATAAACAGAAAGGAAAAAGATTAAAAAAAAAAAAAAAACCCTAGAGGCAAATTGTAGATAAAGAGAAACAGATTAAAATAAGAGCTAGCTAAGGCTGAGCATTCGTAACTAATAAGTCTCCACGTCGTGAATTGGGAGCTGGTTGGTGGCCCAAAGAAAAAGCCTGGCACAGGCTCCCTCCTTTCTCCTCGTTCTCCCTCTCTCTTTCCTTGCTTTTCTCTCTTGTTTTTTTCTTTTCATTTTGCACAGTAAAGTCTACTTTCATAATACAAAGAAATGCCTCTTGTTTTTTTCTTCCTTCTCAATTCTTTCTTTTTTCTGAATTGTACCAGTGTCATGTTCTGAGGTTGGTCTAGAGGCTACGGCATCTAATCACAAACCATTCACTGGCAAAGCCCAGAATCAAAGTGAAATGTCCATCAGACTAGAATCAAAACCACCAGTTGCCCACCAGCCCATTCACATGTGCCATGTATATACATACTGTAGTGGTTTTTTGTGGTGATATTTTATTTGTACTGAAATGTTATTTTAATTTTATGTTAATAAATAAAGTTGCCCTGGGGTCAGAGCTATTAGAGCCATAGTAAGAGCGTGGTGGTTAGAAGAGCTAGGTAGATT